CCCCAAAACCCCAAAACCCCAAAACCCCAAAACCCCTTAATAAAAATCTGAATTGAATTTTAACAACCTAATTATGACCGTGAGTGGATTCTTATCTAATAAATTTACTAAGAAATTTAAACTGCACACATTTCATATTGTTAAGCCCTTGGTACCTTGACTCGAAGTTCTGCATCAAACATAGTAGGTCCTTCGCGATGCTAAGGATTGCAGTCTCCTTTAGATTGAAGAAGTTTACAAGTTCTTTCATAAAAATCTTGTTTACTCACTTTTTGTAGATCATTCTTTCAAGAATCGTGAAAGAGAGGTATAGGATTGCACCTGAGAGAACCTTCTGTCTTCCTGTTACTACAGAGTACTCATGCTGAGTGATCTTGGATACATAATCAACTAACTGATGTGCTGCTTTATAGTTAGCATGGTTCTCTCCTTTGAAGATATGAACCAGGAAAATATTAGTAAAATTGTTCACAGTGGGAAAGTTTACATTAAAAGAGAGCGTGTCAAAGATTTCTTTCTCCTTAGCCAGGATTGAACTTCTTGATAAATTCTGATGAGCAATCCTATCATAGATGGTCATTAAGCTGAATGGTACGAAATCTTCCATCTTTGAGGCAATGAATATCGAAGTAACTCCTATCAAGTGCAAGCTTTTTAAAGGAAGCTGCTTTTTATTAGCATTGAAGTACTGATCCATGATTCTTACTGCTAGATAAAAAGTGTTAATGTTTCATCCAAAGTTGCAAACTATTTCAATGAACCAGTCTATCATTCTTGCTCTAATTTTTGGAGAAAATTCTTTATGCTTAGATAAGAACTTTCCTATTTGTTTTTCTTGGTCTTCTTTATCAAGATTTGTCACAATACTTCTGCCATATTCTTGTCAGAGTTTTCCATTTTGTGACAGAATCTGCTCATCTAGCTCCTTTGGATACTCCATAGAGCTAAGGGTATCACTATTAACCTCTGCTTCTTCTTCAATTTCTGGAACGGATGTTTCTCAGACTCCAAATCTTTTTGGAAAAATAACAACATTTTCAGTTGAACGGGCCTTCATCCTTTTTAAGTCTCGAGAAGAAATGGAATTATTCTTAGAAATTAGTGACCTCCTGTCTCTTTTAGAGAGACTTGCTTTGCTATCAATACTGATTCTTGATATCTTCAGGTATAGATTCTGTATGTTAGATTCCTCTTTGGAGTGGCCCATGACTGGCCTACTTTCAAGGATCAAACCTTGTCTTGGGCATGGATTGTACGGCTCGTTCTCATTTTTACTTACATATTTCAGTTCTCTCTTATTCATTCATCCTCTATAAGTCATATATTAACGAAGCAGGTCAGATTTGGATAACGTTTAGAACTGAGAAAGGAATTTTTATAGATGGCTAATAATGGTGAAATCAGTTAAAGTAACAATGAGTCTGATTAAAAATCCCACAATATATACCTTGCCTGCTTGTAGTTCATCCTATCAAAGGCTAGACCTCTTCTGTACTTGGATAGCTTCTCTACCACACTTCCTTGCTTGACATATCATCTATCGTCATAAGTAAGAGCTCTTTTTAACTTGAGACTCCTGGACTTTGTGTTCATTTTAACTGTTAAATTATATAAAATTTGTTCTTCCAAAAACTACTGAAACTCGGGGTTTTGGGGTTTTGGGGTTTTGGGGTTTTGGGGTTTTGGGG